ACAACTTTATTGAACTGTATTTATTTGATGTACTCTATTTGATTATATACAAAGTGGCGTCGATAAGATTAGTGCGTCACAAAACCCAGGTTCATGATCTTTATCTCTAGAAACTGATTATGGATTTAATCTTGCTACCATCTATGTCCCGCTTCAAAATTAATTATATACTCTAGCAAGCTGCACTTGTGCTGAATGCTTCTCGACAATTTCGGTATACGTTGGACTTGAAAAATGAAGAGATAATACCTTGGTGCATTAGATAATACCACTTAAATTAATTATATACTCTAGGAAGCTACTAATTTCGGTATACGTTTGACATTTCCGATCATGCTTTTTAACTCCCAAGAATTCCAGATAATACCCTGGTACATTAGATTTATCTCTGCAAGGCTTGGTTTTTGCCAATGTTTTTAGCGATCTGTATAACCTGTGGTTGAAATGATTATTATGAATCTCATGTGGAGTAACTTTTTAGTTGGAAAGCTTCAAGTGCATGATATAATTTGGTGGACTTTCGAGCTGGTTACTAAGGAAAGCTTAGTGTCACAATGGCATCATGTGAATCTGCATGGCTTCTATTTACAATTTCTTCTATTTCCAGTTTTGCAAATTACTCAAAGCTTTATGCTTCCAGAGTTCCAGATGCATATTTGGACATTTAATGGCAGTTTTGCACTCTGTTATGTTGGCTCCACCCACCCTTCCATTTGGAGCATAGCTTAATAATGGTGGGAAAAAAAAAAGGCTCACACCAATCTGATGCATCACTGTAATCTGATGCACCACAAGCTGAATTCTGAGCAATTTCTTCAAACTTCACATCAATTTGATGCACCTCAATCTGCTAATGCACCAGATTGTGCATTAGATTGAAATTTATAGTTCAATTGATTTCGATTTGGGTTTTGAATCCACATCTTGCTAATTGGAATTTCTGGTTTGGAGGTTTGAGGGTTCTGGTTTGTGGGGTTGGGGGTTTTAATTTGGAGATTTTGATTTGGGGTTAATACAAAGCGCGTTGCAATTGAAGAGAAAAGTGTGTTTGTTTGGTGCATTTTTGATGACTTGGAAATGGTTAACATCGTCAACACGCCAGGTAGGATTTCCGTTTTCCACGTGTGGAATTTAAGTGAGTGGGCATTGAGTAACTCATTAAAGATAAGTGAGTAAAAAGTAACAAGTTTAAAGTTCAATGAAGATTCATTAAATTTACTCTTTGCCCTTGTTCCCTCAAATCCTAAAATCATTCAAAGCATTGCACCAATGGCAGCTCCACTTAGGCTAGTGCCCAAGGTTTTGCAGCAATAGTTGTGCCCTCCAACTCATCGAGGCCTAACACTTGCCCAACAGTTGGGACTAGGTCAAGCTTTAGTGCCATTCATTCTCGAGGTTAGTTGGTTCAGAGGTTGAGTTGTTACACATTCCCTAGCAAATTTTGACTTCCATGACTACCTTAATGTTGTTTTAATCGACCAACACCCTTTGTGGGATCTCGGTAGCGCTCAGTTGAGCACTGTAACCCGACTTCCAATTCATCCGGTCCCGTCCAGCCCCGCCTCGTCAATTCTTCTTACTCCAAGCTAGGGAGCCACTCGTGCCCCATGATGCAAATACAATCCCTTCGAGCCCTGAACATTGCTGGTTATGGTTGACATATAGATGCATTCTTTCTCATCCTTCTCTTATAATTAGTGTGGAACAAACTCAAAGTAGACTGGTCGTGGGCTGGCCCGCTTTGTCTTTTAAGTTTGCCTTTAAGAAAGAATATGACAAAACACTGGTTGATTTGGAAAAAGGGACAAAAAATATTCCAACAATTACCAACATTCATTTGCTTTTGGTTCTTCTATCATTTTATAATGTAAATAGCATGAGGCATATTGTGAATGGACCTGAAAAGAGGATTCGGACACGAGTGATGTAAAACAGATAAATTGGATGGATTAGTAAGAATGACGTTATTTTAAAATCTTTCAATAAACTTAAAGAAACCCTTATCGTAAAGTAAAATTGTTCTTATCGAATATGAATATGTTGTCAGGTACATAAAAATATTTCACTTGGCAATATCCAAATTTTATTTTTACCACTTACCAACATATTTGATCTGACGACAACAGACAAAAATCATCGTGACACCTGGACTTGAACCTAACACTTTATATTCTAAAAATCCAATATTCGTTGATGTGATTTTATAAAGATTTGGAGCCATGAATGAAAGTAAAGTTCTCTGGTCCCCTAAACATCTTGGATTCTTTGTTTCATTTGTAGCCCATGCAAGATACAAACAAGACTATAGCCATATTCTTCCTGTGGTATTGATACACAGATATTATTTGGACTAATCTTGTGGATATTAAATTAAAGCATGCAATGAAAGTGCATCACTCTTTTACTCCAACTTGGAACATCAAAAACAAAGAATCAGTCCCTTCAAACATTTTCAATGTGAGGTTTCTGTATTCTTGGACTTATCCCTTCAACTTACTATAATATCGAAGCTAATAACTATGTACAACAATAAACTAAGGGCATGTTTGGCATGATTTTTTCTTTTACTTTTACTTTTGCTTTTGCTTCCTGTAGAAGAGCTTTTGGAAGAAACTACCTTAATATTTGTTTAGAAACTAATTTTTAAAAGCACTTCCTATTTCGGAAGTCACATTGGACCAACTTTCTCTAAAAGCTTTTCTAACCACCGAAAGTATTTTCATAAAATTAGCCGTCAAAAACAGCTTTTGGATCTCAGAAGCTTCTTTTGACTTTTCAAAAATCATGTCAAACGGACCATGTGTCTTATTTTCATTAAACAAAGAGTTGCTATCTACATAAAACTTATTTTTCCACTCTGAAGTACCAAAAAAATGTAGGAATACATTTTTGTAAGGTGTGATAGTCAACCTACCACAACTTCCTTCCATTTCCGAGTTTAGGTCTTGGGTATGATTAATAGTCAGGGTATAACGTCTCGTGCTTGCGGTCGATAATTTGGCAGGGTGGCTGGGAGCCCAGGGTGATTGGTCTGGTCTTTTGTTTAGAAGACAAAAGCAGAGCAAACGATAGAGATATAAGGAAACAAATGAAAAGATGCTTAGCTTCTTGAGGGTCTTGCTCCAATTACCTTTATTCATCTTACTCAGATTCTTTCACAACACTTTGCTTAGATTTGCATATTTATGATTGAGGTGAATCTATGCCCTATTTGAGCCACATTGTTTTTTCATTCTCATTTTTCTACTCATTTTCAACCACACATTCTTCAATAAAATAATATTTTTCATCACATCAATAATTTTTCCTTTTTTTTCTATCACATATTTCACCATCACATCAAACCAAAAAAATATATTCTTGTGAAAATAATGTGGCTCAAACAGGGGAAAACTCCATTAAGACATTGTCATATGATATATATCAAGGAATGGAACATAGGAACTCAAGGACTACAATCTTGGACCACCATATCTTCTAGTATTCTTAACATAAGAGAAACATATTTTCATTCCTCTTATTTCCTCAAGAAAGCCATGGTTCTTTATGTTTGTAGGGCATTTTTATTATTCATCTGTCTAGGATTATTAGTGTTTCATCCCAGTGAAGGTTTTAGCTTGACAAGTATAGATCTTGCTCTAAGACGAAGCAAAGTTCATCAGTTGATGGTAAAGAATCAGACCGCAAGTATACGTATACTCAAAGAAGTTGTCATGAAGGACCGGAATACAGATAAGAAAAAGGCACCTGTAAATCAGACATTTGATCCACACAGAATGAGCAAAAGAAGAGTTCCAAGAGGATCAGATCCCATCCATAACAGAACTTGATATAAACAAGGCATCTCTTTGCCATAAGACGAGCAAGGCAGTTGAACACAATTGGAGAGTAAAAAGGACAAGATTTCTCAACTGTACATCAAAACCAGAGGAAGAACAGACCAGAATATAGGTTGTATTCAACTTCTCAAGATATGATCAGCGTGGCTTCATTATTTCTTGCTCCCAGATAAGACTTAAGAGGGTGCTTGTTTTCCTTACTCCCATTCTAATGCCAGTCTCTTTATTGTTGAACATTTGAAGCATGTTTGATATACAGTGCTGAACGGGGATTGGGAAGTGTAATGGACAACATTTTTATTTAGTTTTCTATTTTTCCTAGATATTGTTCAGTATTATGTATTCCCCCTTACATACAATTGATTGCTCTCATGTCTCTTCACACACAAAGACATGAGAGCAATCAATTCAAAGTAAGAAAAATAAACATTCAAGAACACGAAAAATTTATAGAGGTTTGTCTTAATACGAGACATCGTCCTCTCCCATTGTAGTAATTCACTATAACGAAAAAAAAATGGTGTACAAGATAAAATCGTACTCCTATCTTCTCTAGCCTCTCTTTCTTTCTTTTCTATGATAATTATAAAGTTTAAGGACCACTCCCTATAAGATAAATTAAGGCAAAACCGAATTTTACAAAAACTCCAATTCCTTGATAGAATTTTGTAAGAATACAAATTCCAAAACAATCCTTAATGAAATTTTAGTCAATCTGCGACCAGCTCCAAAAAAGCGGCAAAAATTAAGCTCCACAACTTGACATTTAATACCAGAAAGATGATTTGGAAGCATGCCCAAAAGTCAAAAGTGTTAACATTCAACAACAAAGGATATCATGCTAAATTCATTAATGCCACACTTCTAACAATGCAGCAGGACTCTTCATCTGAAGTAGACCAACAAACTTGAACTAAACAATTCACTTGACCAACAACTCTAGATATCATGAGACATCTACAAAGATGAAGTGCTATAATACTAACATGACCAATTTGCTTACCAGCAACAGCCAAAGTGCAATCAATCTGTGGCTCAGTGCTTTAGAAACTTCCAGAAAGCAGTTTAACCAAAGATTCAGATGGGCAATTCAAGTGTCATGAACAGAAAGATGCTGAACAAGGATTTTTGACCCTATCGTCATTCCAAAGAGAGCTGGCTTCACAGATTTCCACAGTGCGTCCCTCTTCCAAATACGTTGTGCAATTCCATTCTGTCAGAGTTAACTGAATTCTAAAAACAACTAAATAATCTGCTCATGGCATATTTACATCCAAAATTCCACCTATTGTGTTCTATCAATACATTCTTCAATAAGAGGATTGAGAATCTGAAATAAGCAAGCAAAATACCAACCTAAAAATGTAAATCCCAGTTTCAAAAGAAAATCCGTGAGACAGGCAATTGAACTGAATCTCAAGACCGTTATCTGCAAACAAAATGACATATGAAACGAACCTAAAAGCATGTTTTACCGGATTCAATAAATTAACTTGCCATTCTCGCCATTCATTCCAATCACATGACACATCCATGCAGGGGTGTGATTGCAAAGATGATCTAGACTGCTGCTTCTCTGCGTCGTCTTTCTTGGGCATAAAACCATTGGAAGTTCCAAACTGAGTAGGGCTCAATTCCAGAAAACTTCACAAAATGATAAATAGTTGTTCATGCTGCTAGGATCAATGAACACCTTCACAGGATCATCATTTGGTCAGTTTTATGTAACACCTCTAGTATGGTTTATTACTCTAGATGTGTTCAATAAATAATAATTGACCTTGCAAATTTTCACTATCAAAATCACACTCACTTAACATCCCATTCAATTATCTAAGAAGCTAAATTTATTTGTATATGATCAAATGAACAGAAGAAGAATCATGCCATTGGCTGGGCGTCTGGGGTCTTCTGGGCTCGACAGCCTCAATTCATTATATATCAGCATTAGCCACCCTAGAACTGCTGATCTGTAGGTCCAGAATCCCAACAATCCTTATCTCTGATTCCAAGCTCAGTTACGCCTCAACCTGGTTTGGCACTATAGGCTGGACCCACAGCCTAGTACTGGAAATCAGCCCTATCTTTGTGGGAACGGAATCAAATCCTCATAAAGAAATTACCAAAATTGTGTTTGAGAAAAACTTAACAGCAGCAAATATATTCAAAGAATTTTTGTTACCAATATACACAGAACGAAGGTATGTGTTGGAGTAAGCTGTCTAGAACTCGAGCAACATGCTCAATGACAGTAAAGTAAATTTAGCATAAATCAACAAGGCTATACCCTGTAGTCCTTTTCAAACCTCTCCCCTTTGCAATAGATCCTATACGTGCTACATCATCCCATTTTCCTCCTCCAGCGTACATATTCGACACAGCACAATAAATGCTTGGATGTTGGGGCTCCATATTCAATAACCACCTTCCTATTCTTTCCCCCGTCGCAGTACTACCATGAACTCTGGAAGCTGCAAGCAGAGCCCTAAGAGCAGAAGCATTCTGTCCTGATGGAAAATTTTTTAGAAGATTGTATGCTTCTTCTATCTGTCCTGCTCGTCCTAACAAATCCACTACACAACCGTAATGCTCCTCTGATGGAACAACTCCATACTCTTTCTCCATGGACCAGAAAATACACAAGCCCTTTTCTAAAGATCCAGAATGACTGCAGGCGGAGAGTACTGATGTGAAGGTAACCGCATCAGGCGAGATCTTCTCTGTTCTCATTTGGTCAAACAATTTGAGTGCCTGTACGCAATCCCCATGCATCCCATACGCAGTTATCATAGTGTTCCATGATGATAAATGACGTTCAGACATGTGTTCAAACAAATTTATGGCCATCATTAATTTTCCACATCTGCTATAAGTAGTAATTAGGGAATTGATTATAAATATATCTTCTTCCACAGATATTCGATACGCAAGACAGTGAACTTCTCTCACTAAACTTACGATCCCAAGCTGATTTAATGCCTGAAGCACACTTGTTAAAGCTACAGAATCAAGGTGCAGTTTTTCTCTTAGCATCAACCGAAACAAGGTCATTGCTTCATCAGCAAGATTGTGATTAACGTAAGCCATCATAAGCGTTGTCCAAGATATTGTATCCTTAATCTTTAATTTTTCAAATACTTGTCTTGTGCATCCTATGAAGCCACATTTTGCATACACGTTCATGAGTTGATTAGCAACTTCAGTGTTTGCTTCAAAACCAAGTTTGAGCACATATCCATGTATGCACTTGCCTCCTCGTGAATCTCTTATATCACATAATGATGAGAGCACACTCAGGATGGTACTAATATGCTGTCTAACACCTGCCATTACCATTTCATTAAATGTCTTCATGGCCCGATATGGAAATCCATTACATTGATAAGCGGCTATCATCACATTAAACAAAACACTATCTTTATCCTCTGATCTGTTAAAGACTTCACTTGCTTCAGTTAAGTGCTTACATTTCGAGTACATATCAATTAAATTTGTTGTAGTGACAAGATCAAGTTGAATTCCCGATCGAAGAATGTAACTGTGAATACTTTTTCCTGCAAGCAAATTCCCCAAATTTGCACAACTCATTAGGCCATTTGCTAAAGTGATCAAATCAAGCTCAAATTTTTCTTCCACCATTTGGGAAAACAGGTTCAGAGCTTTCGACGGCTGTCCCAATTGAAGATGACAAGAAATCAAAGCATTCCAAGAACCAATAGTCTTTTCATCCATCTTTTCAAATATTGCAGCTGCTTTGTTCGGATCACCACACTTTATATACATATCCATAAGGCTTGTTTCAAAAACTTCATCTAGACAACCAATTCCTCTTCTAATTCCATAACCATGAATTGATTTTCCCTCTGCTAGTGCTCCTAATTGTGATGCAGCATGAAGTAAACTTATCAAAGTAACCCTATTAGGCTCAATTCCATCCCATTGCATATGGGATGCCATTCTAAAAGCTTTGTAAGCACAAAGATCAGCAGCATGAGCGTACCCTGTGATAATCGAAGTATAAGCAACCACATCTCTGTTAATAATTTCTTCAAAAACTTTAGCTGCTTTCTCAATATGATCAAACTTCGAATAAAACCCAATCAAAGATGACCCTACAAATTGTTCATTACTAAATCCAAATTTAAAACCATCCACGTGAATGGCTCTTCCAAATTCAAAAGTCCCCAACTCAACACAACTTTTCAAACCAAATGTGAGCGCAGAACTATGATTACCAATATTTATCCGCCTTAGTTCTATATATTTCCTCAAAACTTCATCAAAATTATCACCTCTAAAGTACCCAACAATAACTGAAATCCAGAGAGGAAGATTTTTATCAACAGCTTTATCAAAAACCCATTTGGATTCTTTTAGAAGATTGAATCTTGTATAGGATTTGACAAGCTTGGAGCCCAAAAAGTTGTTGCCTGCAAGGCCTCGTGTACATATACAAGCATGTAACTTTTTCAATAAATTGACATTTGAACATGTCTCTAAGAAAGACGCAAAGTTTTCAGGGAGCAAAGGGGAGGATTCTTTGAGTAACCTGGGAAGCCTGGAAGAGAATGCGTTCATATTTGTGAGAAATCAAGAAATCTTATCTAAAAGTCAGCAGTGATGCCTTCATAAAAGAAGATTTCGTCCAAAGGTCTCTCTTTCTCCATCTGCAGAGGCAGATTTCAGCTGTGTTGTACATCAATTTGGCTCTGGTGAAAAGTTTGAGGAGAAGAGCTTCATAGGAAAATGCATTGTTAATAAAATTAGTATTTTATAAATAATAGTTATTACTATTGGGAAGTATATTGTGGACACTCAACTTACCATTTGTTTCACATTGGTTCTCAAAGTTTAATTTGTTTTAATTTGATCATGCAATTTAACCTTTTCTCTAGTTTTTCATTAATCCACTATGAACCGAGACCAAATTATGTTTCGTCCCTTTTGATAAACAAAATAAATAATTTCAATGATAAATAATTTGTTAGTTTAGCAAACAAATTGAGAAAATGTGAACCACATTATTGTGGAAGAATGTATTTTGGAATAGTAGATTGATGGAGAATGTGTAATTAAAAAAAAATTATTGATCTGATGGAAAATATTATTTTATTAAAAATGTATGGTTGAAAATGAGTAGAAGAATAAAAATGAAAATTTTAATGTGACTCAAACAAGGGCTTAATTCACTAATTCTGAATTTTATTTTTGTCAAAAAATTACTAGTTTAAAGTTAAAAAGCTTCAAGCCATGCATCACGCACGTAAGATTGGGTCGATTGGTTGCTTGTGTTGATCACCGTCACAAATGGAATAGTCTAATTAGAATAAAATGTAAGTTAAAGGATCAAATTGAGAAGAAATTGAAATTAGTTGATCATATAGATTATAGAACATCACTGTTTGGCAAAGTTTCAAAAATCTTCTTAAAAGTAAGTTCACTTTAAGTAAATAAATAAGTATTAAAATGAATAATTTTTTGGGAAATTTGGCCATTCAGTTTGGTTGAACAATGTATTTGATGAAATGACGTTTGACCTATAATAAAAACAAAAAAATAAAGTAATATATTTTAGTTGGCTTTTGACAAAATTCTCCTTCAATTATCAACTCAAAAATCATCAATTTTTCTCATTTCATTCCGTTATTTCTCCTTCAAATTCACTATAAAACCCTAGTTTCTATGTTTTTGAAAATAACATCTTCTTCCGTCTTTATCTTCTTCTATTTTAGGTCTTCAAAATCACAATCGCCCATTTTATTCTCTTCGATCATTGTTGTTGCTGCCCCCAAAATCATTTTTTTACTATATTCTTCACTTATTTTGAACATTTTTTAAGCATTTGAACAAGAGTTTGATTAGTATATCATCTACATTGAAAATCACTTTACATTTGAAGAAAGAAGAAAAACAACTTTAGAAATTTCATGTAGATTATAGTTTTATTATTGGATATAGTATTAAATAATATTTAATTAGTGTTGTTTTCGTATTTAGTGTGTTTTTGTGTTGTCTACAACCATTAGATGATAATGACACTCCAATTGCCATCGGAATGTAGAATACCACTTCAGTCGTTATTTACTACGTAAAACGGCACTATAGTCGTTATCTACTGTGATTTGATTTTTTCAATAAAATGACTTCTAATAATGGACTCACTAACATATATAACACAGAAAGGTTGATTGTCACAAAAAAACGATTAAAATGATATAGCTTTTATATTATTAAGATGATGAAAGCTAGAGTCGTCATAATTATATATGTCGATTAAGTTAATAATATATATCTCAACTTATGTATGTGTTATGTGCATATTACAACATAAATAAGTCTCACTTATTATTTCTTAGGGTACGAATGGATCTTGGTTACTTATACTAGTGTCTATACACGTAACAGCACGAGTGTCGTTTTCATGACCAATAACGACACTTATGTCGTTCCGAAATTTTCACCTATATTTTTTTTAACGAAGCAACGTTTTATAATGGACTCCCCAATTATATAACATAGAAAGTTTGAAAATGTCATAAATAACGTAAATGATCCACTTATTAGTTCTTAGGGCACTATAAGACACAATTACTTATACTCGTGCTTACAAATATAACGGAAATAAAAAATGGCCCTTGCGCTGTTTTATCTATAAACACGAGAATGATTCCTGTACCATTTTAAGATGAGAACGTCTATTAAAATGGTATAATTATCGTTATGTTTGTAAAGTGTTCATGAGAATGGTATTTGTGTCGTTACTGAGATTAGATTGTCCATTATAACAGTATAACTATCATTATATTTGTAGATATACTTGTCCATTCTAACGAGACTTATGTTGTTGTTAAATTGAAAAGAGAACGGTACAAGTGTTGTTTAGGAGATGAAAAGGTCCTTGAATATGGCACTTGTATCGTTACCGAGATGAAAAGTTCTGAAAGAACGATACAAGTGTTGTTATCGAAATATAACTTGTCCATGAGAACGGCACTTGAACTGTTACTGTGAAGAAAACGACATTTGTATCGTTCTGTCCATAAACACGACTATAAGCATACACGACCCATTCATGCCCTAAGAATCAATAACTTGTCCATGAGAACGGCACTTATGCATTTCTGTTAGAACGGTATAATATTGATTCATAGATTTAGTTAAATGTTGTTGTAGTTACAGTTTTGATGCCCCTTAATTTAAAAATCTATGAGAACGACACAAATGACTGTATAAATGACACAAACATGTTCATAGAACAACACAAGTGTTGTTATTGTGAAGAAAATGACACTTGTGTCGAAAGTGGGATGACACATTTATTAGAACGGTATGACTGTCGTTATATTTGTAAATAAAACTCCATGAGAACGACACTTGTGCGGGGTGGACTTGCCATTTACAACACTAGAGAGATGTGTTTATTACTTATACTTTCAAACGAATTTAGATCAAAACTTGTGATTTCATCATTTGATACCATATATTTTATATCAATTCTATCGTTAGTTGTCACATAATCAACATTTTCGACCTTCTTAAGTTAGAGGGTTCAATGTTTGATGTCGTATGGCTGAAAAAGTAACAAAATATTGGAGAAATCAACAGAACGGCACAAGTGCCGTTTAATGACCCTCATGTCGTTATGTCTGTAAATAAGAGTATAAGCAATCACGACCCGTCCTAGCCACGGTAATCGATAAGCTGAACTCATTTAAGTTGTAGAATAATCAACATTTTCGAACTTCTCAAGTTAGGTGGTACAATGTTTGATGCCGTTCCACTGGAAAAGTAGCAAAATATTGGAGAAATCAACAAAATGGCACAAGTTCCGTTTAACCACCCTTGTGTCGTTATGTCGTAAACACAAGTATAATCAGCCATGACCCGTTTGAGCCACAATAATCGATAAGCTGAGCTCATATAAGTTTCAGGATGGACGTGCCTTTTACAACATTCGAGAGATATGTTCATTACTTATACTTTCAAACGAATTTAAATCAAAACTTGTGATTGCACCGTTTGATACTATATATTTTATATTAATTCTATTATTAATTGTCACATAATCAACATTTTCGGTCGTCTTAAGTTAGGGAGTTCAATGCTTGATGTCATTCTACTGGAAAAGTAGCAAAATATTGGAGAAATCAACAGAACGGCACAAATATCATTTAACGACCCTTGTGTCGTTATGTCTGTAAACACGATTATAAGCAACCACGACTCGTCCGAGTTACGATAATCGATAAGCTGAACTCATTTAAGTTGTAAATTGGAAGTGCCGTTTACAACATTCGAGAGATATGCTCATTACTTAATACTTTCAAATGAATTTAGATCAAGACTTGTGATTTCACCATTTGATACCATATATTTTATATCAATTATACAGTTAATTGTCACATAATCAACATTTTCGACCTTCTTAAGTTAGGGGGTCCAATACTTGAGGTCGTTCCTATGAAAAAGTAACAAAATATTGGAAAAATCAACAGACGGCACAAGTGATGTTTAACGTACGAGTATAAACAACCACAACAATCGATAAGCTGAACTCATTTACGTTGCACGATGGACATACCGTTTACAAAATTCGGGAGATATGCTCATTACTTAATCAACATGAAAAAATAGAACAGCACAAGTATCGTTATTGTTTTAAAAACGACATAAGTGTCGTTACAGCACCATTGATGTTTTATTGCAACAAAAAACAGTATAACTGCAGTTATGGCATCATCGACTCTAAGACAATGACAAAATCAACCGTTCCAAACATTATGAATAGTTTGATTTTTAAAATGACAAAAGTAGTACATCAAAACATAACACTACCATCCTTTTTCAATATTATAAAAACAGTACATCGTAACACTACAAAAGTCGCATATGTGTCCTATTGTCTTCATCGTTCATGTCTCTCGCTGAGTAATACACGATCTGTACAAGTGATATGGTTATACCCAGTTTTCAAACAACCATTACACTTACGAGACTTGCGTACCTCTCCGAATGATTGTTTCCTCTTTTTTGGTGGATATCCACTTCCTCTTCGTGTCAACGGTCGTATCACCTTTCTTGATCGAACATTATCAAGAATTTCCCAATTCGCCTCGTTTGGCAGTGGATATATATATATATATAGAAGATAACAACTATAATGTCGTTCTACACTACGTAAAATGGCTGGAGTGCCATTCCGTACTACAGTTCGTCCAATAATTGTGACAGTGCAGAAATACACAAACTGTGAAAAAAATAAGCTAAAATATCATTTCATACTATATTCAACAATAAAAGGATCAATGTACACGAGATTTAAAAAAAATACCTTTCTTTTTTCTTCAATTTCACCTATATTTTTTTTTAACAAAGCAACGTTTTATAATGGACTCCCCAACTATATAACATAGAAAGTTTGAAAATGTCATAAATAACGTAAATGATCCACTTATTAGTTCTCAGGGCACTATAAGACACAATTGCATATACTCGTGCTTACAAATATAACGGAAATAAAAAATGGCCCTTGCGCTGTTTTATCTATAAACACGAGAATGATTCCTGTACCGTTTTGA